CGGTGACAACGTGGGCGCTTGCTTTTGTAGGCCCCTTCTCCGATATGCCAGCGCCTGGGTGGGCGGCGTTTCGCGACGTACGACTTGCAGGACGCCTTCGTCTCGAAGCCCAAAGCCTCCAGAGATTCTGCATGTCGCAGATCGCATACTAACGCAAGCATGGATACCTGTAAGTATGGCTCAGCCTAGTCTCGCCATTCAAAGGTGCAGATTCTCCCAAGACTGACGCTTGGATGCGGTGTCTTTTTCACTCTGGAATACCCTCTTGTCAGAGATGTCGATGAATAAGGACAATAGGGAGAAGAAAAGACGTTGAAACGTGGGGAGGCGACGTGCTGTCATCTAGACTCCTCCTCCAAAGCCATTCCATCCTTGAGACGAACGTCCACCACTCACCATCGTTCTGCCTTCGAGAAACACTGCAAAGCCAGACGGTCCGGCGAAAGAGGCCACTCAGAGCTCTCGTCTCACCTCTCTACCCCATTGCCACCAAACCGACTGAAACCTCGCATCCGCTTCCTCCCCCCTTCCAGTCCGTGCCGGAACATCCAAAGGCCAGCGCACCCTTCGCCGACGCTAGCGACAAGCAGCAAAAGTTGAGACGAACAAGGCCTCGCGTGCGCGATGATAAGAATTACAGACCCCGGGTTCACGAGGACCGCCGAGCAGGAATGCAGCGTCGACTGTTCCCTTCTCGGTGGCTCCTGTTGCTCGACGTCTTTCTCTTCTTTCGGCGCATGAGCACTGCCTGCCAAGCGTCGAGATACAACCTTCTCGAGCTGTAGCAGCTCCTTCGCACCACCGCGGCCGCAGCTCTGTCGCCCTGCGAACGGCTACGGTATCGCGCCTCGCCAGAATGGCGGCGGTTGTGCCCATTGGGTACCCAGTTCGTGGATCCCCTCTCTCCCCCTTCCACCCTGGCCTTCATGAGAGCTGACATCCCGCCTCCTTTCCCCCTCTTTTCAGCAACCAGTATACGACTATGGCCCCCCTTACGCACCTCAGGTGGCGGCGCCGGGCCTCATCCCGACAATCCCCATCGACGTGCCAGTGTGCATCATCTTGATTATCTTCTTCCTCGCCGCCGCCGGAATTAACCTGGTCATCTTTGTCCGCAACCTCGGCTGCAACCACAAGTTCCTCTTCTCGAGCGTCCTCGTCGGCTTCTGCTTGACGCGCATCATCGCACTCTCCCTTCGCATCGCCTGGGCTACCCAGCCGTGGAACGTCCGGCTCAACATTGCGGGGAGCGTCTTCGCCTCCGCCGGCATCGTCCTCCTCTACGCCATCACCCTTATCTTCGCCCACCGCCTCCTCTGTGGCCTCCACCCCAACATCGGCTGGATTCCTGCCGTCGTGTACTTCTTTTACTTTTGCTGCTTCCTTCTCATCGTCTGCCTCATCTGCGCCATCAGCTCCTTCATCGCCGGCTTCTACACCCTTGTCCCCCAGGAACTCCACGACTGCCACCTCGTCCAGCTCTTTGCCTCCACTGTCTTCGCCATCATCGCCTTGCTCCCCATCCCCATCGCCCTTTTCGCCGCCTTTTACCCTGGCCTCCGCTGTCCCGAGCCTTTTGGCTACGGCTCCCTCACTGCCAAAATCGTCATTGTCCTCACCGCTGCTACCCTCCTGGCCATTGGCGCCATCTATATCTGCGCCGCCAACTACGCCGTCCGTCCCGTCTGGTTTCCCGGCTGGTGGCAGTACAAGGTCTGCTACTACATCTTCCTCTACGCCCTCGAGCTCCTCGTCGTCTTGCTCTACACCCTCTCGCGATTCGACCTCCGCTTCCACATCCCCGACGGCGCCTGCAAGGCTGGTGACTTCGTCAAGGGCCAGCACGCCTACAAGCGCGTCAGCGGCCTCACCTTCCGCGCGAGTCTTGACGAGAGAATCACCGTTCAAGACGAGGACCGTAAGCGACACGGCTCGTCCCTCACAGAATACTTCACGCCCAGCGGTAACCTGGATCGCCATCATCACTATCACCACCATCATCATCGCCATCACCGTCGTCATCATCATCATCATCCTCCTCCTCCTCCTTCTCGTCATACCCGAGGTAGTTACCTGCCTAGGACTGACTACTTCTCGCGGGCCAGCTATCTGTCCAGCATTGGGGGTGGAACCCGCTCTTTGCGAAGCAGTCGCTCCGGAGAGATCAGCAACGAGATCAATATTGATATCAACGGGGGAAGGGACGTTAGGGTAACTAGGCAGGTTGTTCGGCAGCGCGTGTATGAGAAGAATTCGAGGGGGAGGCCAACGCATGGACGGCTGAGTATAGACAAGAAACGGAGTCGTAAGCGTCGACATCACCATAAGTGATGATAGAACGCGGGTGGGCCTTATTTGATCGATCCTCGAATACATAATGATTGAAAAACCTGCTACTGGCCTTATGATTATTTGACATGAACAGGAACAGGGTTGCTGAGCAACGGCATTGGAATGTCGAGTTACCCTGCAGGTACCTAGAACACGGGAAATGGAACATAAGCTTGCCATTAGCATCGACACTCTCTCTGCAGCTGGCGGTCTATGATGAGTATCTAACGCGATGACAGGAAAGAGTTCAGAACACCCTAGGACTCGTCTTCGGACGATTGGAGGGGCTCGTGCTCGCGCTCGAGCTTCCTGGGCTATTCTGTCCCTATCTATCATAACGCTCAACCGGAATCTCTCTTTCTTGGGAGTACATTGGTTTTCCTGGCTTTGGCAGTAATCTGACAAGATTAGACTCCCAAGCACCAATGCAAGTTGAGCATGCGCCGCCCCAGTATCTTTCGCATCTCGTCCACAGAGAGCATCCAGAATGCTCTGAAGCAGGCGGTAAGGGTATTGAATAGATGTATCAGAGGAAGTAATCGGGCGTGCGTCTCGAGACCATCGGCTCACCAGCTCTCGGGCAAGGGTCGAATTGTAGGCTAGGTATGGTCAGCACCCATTTCTTGTTAGCAACGCATGGATTTATGGGCACTTACAACGTGTACTTGAGATGTTCGTCGATTTCCATGATCGCCGCCTGGTTACCGCATCTGTAGCAGTAGTTGGGTGCTGTTCGCGTTAGTAATCGTTGGGCATATCACCAGGTCCAGGAAGAGCTCACCAGAGAAGATGGTAACAACATTTCTGTCTTGCGACCAATTATAGCCCTCCATCACGAGCTGATGAGCACGTGCAATAAGCGTGAGACCGTTGTTATGGTTGAACGCCTCAGAGATGTCCTGGCCGAAGGTGTAGCCGGCACCACGGGGCGAGATTCCCCAGCCGCAGCGGTCATCGGGGTCGGACCAGAGCAGGTCACACATGGGACCCTCGTGGGGCACCTCTTGGATTCTGTCGAGCGCTCTGATGTTGTCAAGGGTATCGATACTAGGGGACAAGCCGCCGTGCAAGCAGAAAATCTGATTGTCGATGAGGGCAGTAAGGGGGAGGTAGTCGAAGAGATCGGTGAAATACTTCCACACGTTAGCGTTGCCATATTTCCGGAGGCACTCGTCATAAAAGCCATAGACTTGGGTGATCTGGCGGGACTCGTGGTTGCCACGGAGGATGGTGATGCGCTGCGGATATCGGATCTTGAGGGCGACGAGCAGAGTCACAGTCTCGACGGAATAGTAGCCTCGGTCGACGTAGTCACCTGGTACGAGTGAGAATCTATTCACAAGGGCGCGAGCTTATCGCGGGAACAACATACCCATGAAGAGGTAGTTGGTGTCTGGGTTGGGACCGCCAATTTTGAACAACTCCATAAGATCGTGAAATTGACCGTGGATATCACCGCACACTGTCACCGGGCATTTCTGCAGGAAGGGGGTTAGCGCGAATCACTTTTCCGACTATCGGGGAAACATACGACTGGTTGTACGTTGGACTCGTCCTGCAAGACTTCTCGCGCCTGTTGATCGATGTTAGAAAAGCATCCCTGGCGATCACGCGAGAGAGGGGTGGTTCGAGATGAGGGGGCGATAAAGGCGATTGGCAACAATGACGATAGCCGGTGTCTGCGCATCGCGATCCCCATCACGACTCAGAAAGGAGAGTACTGACCTTCTCGCAGAGTCTCTGAACGTCGGCCTCAACGAGTTGCTTGCAACTCATGAGGCTCTCGATCCAGCCATCTAGGGTCGGGATCGTGGTGGGCTCAAGATTCTGGGCGGAGGGCAGATCGGTGGGGACGCGGCCGACATCCTCCATGTTCGTATCCATGTTAAAAGTCGTCTAATGGGTTGAAATGTCAGGGTTGGAGATAGAGCACCCGGTCACAGATGGCGGGAGGGTGGAATGCAAAGTACGGCAGCGTTGTCGTCGTCGTCGTAGTCGAGGTTGGTGAGGATGACGTTTATGTTTTCAGCGGCCGGTCGCGGTATTCAGGTTAGCACAGCACCCCAATCCTAGCGTGGGGCTGGCGGCAAATCGTCAAAGGCGGTCAGAGCTTTGTCCAAGGCCAAATGGTAGAGAGAATTGCAATCGAGTATCCGGCGGCAAGGATAGAAACACGAGGGTGGAGGCGTTCGCAAGTGTATGAGATGGGGAGAGATTATGTTCACTGTTGCTTTACGTGTGCGCGGATCAGAAAGGCGTCGATGTTGGGCATGCAGGGGATTTTTGCGATGTGGAAGGTGGTGCCGGTGCGGTGTTCTGCCTGCTCTGCTTTGCTCAGCTGGTTACAGTAGCCATTAGCTAGACTAGGTTAGGGTGGGCAGGAGCGAGGAGGGGGCACCGTGGACTACGTAGCTAGGTACCTAGGTAGGCACGGCACAAGCCAAACGGAACCGGTAGGCTGGAGGAGATATTGCCTTGAATGTCAACCAGGGCCTGCGACTGGACTGGACTCGCTTAACCCGATACGCTGCACTGAGGCAAGAGCTCGTCTCGTAGTGTGCCCCCACTTGTTGCATCGACCCCGGCATAAGGATACTCCTGCATTAGACCTCCTTCTCTAGAAGATCTCACTTGCTTCACCTATGTAGGTAGCTTGACGTGCTCTTAAACTACTTTCACCTCATCGACGTGCTTCAATCATTCTGCATTGGTTCTCTAATTCGATTTTGTTTCCATTTCTATATTGGGACCGCTGTCAGCCCGTAGTCTCCGTGTTCATCCGTTTTAATCAAGTAATAAACGCCGTCGCAGGTAAACAGTGACAAACCAGAGCCCTTCCGTGAGTCTACCTAAAAGGTTACTGTATGCCTGACCTTCACCCAACGCAACTCGCAAGATTTGGCCCAATCAGTCGTTTTCAATTACCATGACCATAATCTTATCTACCATTAACCCGTATAGTGGTTGGTTTGGATCATCCGCGTGCCTCAACGACTTGCAGACACTCTGGCACTTGCATTTACGACAGCCCGAGGCCGACTGGACTGGTGACTCCCGACGGCTGGTCCAGGTCCCGTCCGACAAGAGTGCGGAAATCCAGCTGCACCTCGTTCAACATCTTTGCGTGCTCGTGTGCTCGCTCCATGCAGTCAGTCCATACCTTGCCGCCGCGCTCAGTACCACTGAGCTGACGGGCAAGGATGCCGTTGAAGGTCTCCACCTCTTCCTTGGCCCATTTGACGCAGGCACTCATCATGGGCGGGGGAAAGCATGCGTGAAAGCAGCTCACGGTGTTACGAATGAGTGAGAAGTAAACAAACGAGACTTCCCAGATGTACTGGTGCAAGTTACCCTGGAAGATGCATTGCCTAAATACGAGGTTAGCTATCGGTTCCAGGTAAGCGGTCATTGTCCCATCTTACCTCGACCTCTTCTGGATGATGTTGTGCCTTGCTAGCAGATAAGCCTCACGAGCCCTGTCCTCGTAGCCCAGTCTGGCTAACCAGCTGATGTTTCGCTTGTTCTTCGTAGGCGCAGTGTGCGTCGTTTCCAGCTCGCGAATGATCATGCCCGCCAACTTAGCGCACCGCTCTTCGACCTTGAAGCTGATAAAGTCCTGCGCCACCGCGTTATTCTTCAGGCCCCGGGCGAGGCTCTTGAGTTTCTCGACGCGGCCAACGGCCGGCTCGAAGCTCTGTAGCGCAATGTCGATGTCAAGCTCGTCCATCTGGCTTTCTACCCATCGTAGGTTCTGCTGCTTTCCATCGACTTCGATGAGCATATCCTTGATATCGGATAGCGTCTCCAGCAGCTCTGTTTTCTGAAGCAGTCCCGGGTCCCGGGAGGCAAAGTAGTTGATGGTCTCCTTGGCCTTGTTGTTCGCCTCCAGCTCCGATTGTCTCTCCTTGCGCAACTCCTCCACCGCCTTGCGGATGTTCAGAAGTAGGCTGTTCTTCTCCATGTCATCGGACTTTTCAGTCCGGTAAATGACGGATTCTTGGCCGACACCTCTAACCATGATAGCGTCCGCTAGCTTGTTCCTGGTTGTAGAATTATCGCTCGACCCTGCCATGTCGACCACTTCGATGTCGAGCAGTGGCCAGCACCTGTCGGCAACCAGCTTGACGAGGGGGCCTTGTGCCTCACGTGAAGGCACATCCGCCTTCCTCTTCTTGCGAGAGGCAATGAGCAGGTGGTCGCTCAAGAGGAATATTTGCATCGCTCGGCGGGACTTGTAAGTGGCGTTGTCCAGCTCGATCCATGCGCCCGCATTTTGAATAACGTGGCGACGGGCAGAGTTGGGCAGGAACTTCTGGGACCCCTCAACGTTCTTGTAAAGTGCCTGCATCTGCGAGTTCCACAGAGCGCTTCGATCGGCGACCGAGCTCCGCCTGTCCCGTTTGCTCAAGCCCGTCGTGAGCTCTCCGCCAAGGTCAGATGACTCAATGTTCCCATTGTTCGACGCCTGTCGCAGCGTCGTCGTGTTGACCTTGAGATCGGTCATGAGGTTTTTTAGCGCCCGCATCTCGCCCTTGAGCTTCTCAGCTTCCTTGCTGATCTTGATGAACTGAGTGCGGTTCTGCAAGACGTTTTGCTGCAGATCTGCATTGGCCCGGCTTTTGAGGCTGCGCAGGCTTTCCTCGAACTCGCGGATCTGGTCCTCCGATGCATCACTGAGCAAGTTGGCGACATCTTTTCAGGAGTTAGTCATTTGAAAGCGAGGCAGGCATTGGTCAGCCGAGCACTCACATTGATCTGGCGCCAAGTCGGGATCTCGCAATGCCTTGATATCAACGACTGGAGCGGGGGCGGAGTCACCCCCACGGCTCGGAGGTGGGCGTGCTGCTCTGCGCTGGCGGGATTCGTACTTATCGAGAGATGGCATGGCCGGTACCGGCGGGTTGTTCACATCGAAGTCGTTCGGCAGATTATTAAACCGCGTCGAATATCGTCGCTTCACCAAGTCCGAGGTCTGTGTATCGAGCTGTCAGCTCCTGAAGCCTCAATGCCGCACTCCATCAGCACCATCTTTGGGAGAGTGCTCACCTTTCCTCCTCCAGCTTGAGGTGGCGGCCGAAGCCTTGGCTGAACTGGAGGAGGGCCAGCATCGGCCGCTGGCCTCGAGTCGGGGGGCCGTACAGGGCCTGATCCATCTTGCAGAATGGGTTCCGAGATCTGTCGCGGTGCACTAATCTGCGGGCGAGCCTTTCGCTTGCCGCTCCGGAGGGAGATCTTGCTCCGCTCCCGATCCTCCGACATGTTGGGCAATTGAGTTGATGTGAAGCGCGGAGGTGCTGTTATCGAGAGGCGCTAAGTACGCATATAGCTCAGGTCGCTGCGATGTAGAAAGGACGAGGACAAAGCCCCCTCGTGGTGTTGCAAGTCGGGTCAGGTCGATATCGTTTCATGCACTCTGCCGTCTAAAGCTGCGTGCTGTGGTGGCCGTTGAGAAGACGGGGACCCTGCACATTGGAGTACCTAGGTAGGTATCCGTAGTGTCTAGGTAGGTTGGTACGGATAGTACTCGGACCTGAACGAAGGCAGTTGACTGGGACGTACCGCGGCACTCATCACACTACGTAACCTACTCCCTCTCTCCAGTGGATAACAGATCCGAGTGCATGTGGATTATTCGGTGATTCGTTACACCCACTTGTACTGGCCCGTGCCCCCTAGACCCACCTATGGCGGCTGCTACTTGGCAGCCAAAGAACGCGACCTGGGAGCAATAGCGCAGAGGCTAAAAAAATTGGTAGAGGAAGCTCCATCGATTCCCGATAGAGCTTCTTTCCTTAGATATTCACTCCGTCAACGAAACTTCGCCAGTTGTCTCCCCCGGCTCTCCGATCATCCCCAAACTTTCGAAGCGCAGTATATCTCACCCCGAGCGCATCTCTCTGCAAGCTTCCTCGATTCATCAGCTCCCCATTGCTGCAATTCCAGAGCCAAACTCTCGTCCGCAAAACCCCCCCCGAAAATCTCCAAAAAAAATGTCCCAGACGTCGACGATAGTGACGGCATCAGTCGCCGCCGCCGTTACCGGCTTGGTTGGTGAGTCTGCCTCGATACCTCTACGCATCCAGCGACCGGGTCACGGCTCTGCCGATGTTTGAAAGCCATCGAAGCATTGGCGCCATGGAGCTCTCTTGCTAACCCCATCCCCCCGAAAAAGCCTACGCCGCCTACTTCGACTACCAGCGCCGCAACAAGGCCGAGTTCCGAAGAGAACTGCGCAGGAACGAGCGCAAACAGCACAAAGCCGAGAAAGAAACGGCCCAGCAGGAGACTATTCGCCAGCGGCAAGCGTTAAAGCAGGCCGTTGACGACGCCAAGGACGAGGGTTTCCCTACCGACGTCGAGCAGAAGGAGACCTACTTCCTTCAGCAGGTCTCTGAGGGAGAGACTCTCTCCGCAGACCGTCAGTCCAACCTCTCCCGGAAAGGTTCCACAAAAGCAACAATGGTATCATTTGCTGACAGTAGTGACGATACAGCCACCCGCGCTGTTGACGCTGCGCTTGCGTTCTACAAGGGTCTGAAGGTCTACCCCACGCCCCAAGACCTGATTAGCATCTACGACAAGACTGTTCCCAAGGTAAGGATGACAAGTACTGCCATATTTTGGCTGTTTTGTGCTGTTTGTCGCTGACTGTTTCCCAGCCCGTCCTCGACGTCCTCGCCGAGATGATCGCTTACGACGATAGTCTCGAGATTGGGGAGTACCAAGGCGGCATCAACGCCGACTTCAGCAACTTGCCCACCGTCGGCCTAGACTAAACGAACCTCCTTTTCGACGTAGCAACTCTCCATCATAACGAGGTCCCCTCCACTCTCTCACTTTTCCTATACCGGAAATCCCTCTCCGGCGCACCGACTAAGAACATGCAGCTACTCCATCAAGTGGCGTGATGCTGCGAATCCCAATTATCCATCCGTAATCCCTGGCCTACTGAGAAAAGAACGAGAAAGAGGGAGGAATTATGACTTTTCAATGTACAATACCTGGCCGGCTGGGCTGTTTTGATAGAAGTTTTTGTAAGAGGAAACCACGTGTATATTGACGATCCAGACATGGACGAATTAGGCAAGAAGGAAAGCCTATGAAATTCCATGATTTCATATTGTCTTGTCCCAAAAATACCGTGGCTGGCCCGAACCTCTTGTCTGTGCTCATTACCCCTAATTGATCACCTTTCAATCTTCCTACCTTTTCTATCCACTCTCTCGTCCCGGGGGTCGAAACCGCCGTTACCCCAGGTAGCCCACTCGGGTGTCGCCTCGCCCATGTAGTCCTCCGGCCTCCAGTCACCATCCGGGCCGCGCTCTTCCAGCAGCTCGAAAAAGCGCTGGTAGTCGATGCGCGGGTGCCACTTGCCATCGACATAGAAACGTTCACTTGCAAGCAGGACACAGCAACTGTGGGCATGTTCCGCCGCGATGCCGTACCCAAGACCCTTCTCGTTGAGCCTCTTCTCTAGCGCCTTGACGAATTCCGCTACTTCCCAATAGAAGGGGACGTTGGACATACTCAGGCCAGCGTTGGACGCCGTCGAGGTACCGCAGTACGTGACGCCCTTGACCTCGACGAAGCAAGGCAGACCCTTCTCCACGAGCTGAGCGTAGCCCTCGACCGCGTCGTCGACATTGAAGCCTTTGACCAGGGTCAGGCGGAAGACGGTACGATGCTTGAAGCGCTTCTCCCTTAGGATATCGAGACACCGCTGGAAGCGCTCCCAGAAGTCCCGGTGCAGGGGGCGGTCGATCTTGCGTAGGGACTCCTTATCGGAGGCGTCGATGGAGACGTACAGCTGCGTCACGGCCTTGAGGGCGGCAAGCTGATCCGGGTGCTGGGCGTTGCAGACAAGGAAAGAGGAGATTCGCTCGGCGTGGAGCATGCCGAGGAACTCGTTGATGTAAGGGTAAAAGATGGGCTCGCCGACGAGGGAGAGGGCGCAGTGCCGGATGCGCATGGCTTCAGCAAACCTCTCGGCGCGAACACCGGGAACTCCTCGGAGCATCTTGATCTTGCTGTAGTGATTGGCCTTTACACCGTCGAAGATAAGTTCTGGAGGATCGACAACCCAGCGCCAGGTCGTGCCGACGGGATTTGTGCCGTGGCGCCAGCAGAAGACGCACTTGTTAGAGCACGAAAGCGAAGGCGTCGTCTCCATGCACTGGTGCGAATTGATGCCGTAGAAGGAATACTTGTAGCAAGAGCCGCGGCCGCGGAGAGCCGACTTGGTCCAGCGGCAGATCTTGACGCCTGAGTGTGAGCCTACAATGGAGTAGCCCTGCTTTGTGAGTGATGCGTAGGTGGGTGAGTTCTTGGGCACCATCTCCTTAACCGAGGATGTGGGCGTCTTCTTCTGCGCTGTCTTGCCGTACGTCGTGAAGTCAACGGCGATGGGTGCCGCCACCGTGCGGCTTTTTGTGTCCGCGTCCGGGTTTGAGCTCTTCATAATTCGGCCCAGGTCCTCGACGTCATCAATGTTCTTGCGGTTCTTCAGCTTCTCGGGCTTAGCCTCCGAGTCCTCAATGAGAACTTCATCATCATCCTCTTCCGCGGATTCATCGTCACTCTCCTCCGGGGCGCCACTTCCGGGAAGACCCTCGCCCAAGCTGCCCGTCTTAGCCAGCATGCCGAGTACGTCAACGACGCCCTCGGACCATTCGGATAACCGCTCGGTGTAGTCCCTCTTCGTATCACCCATACCTACGGGGAAAGCTCTCTTCCGGCCTGTCAACTTGGCCATCCACTTGTCGACCTCCTTGGCCTGGAAACAGAAACCGTCATCCTCCGTCGGCCAACTCTCTCTGTCACCAAAGCCAAAAACGGAGTATCCAAGGAGCGAAGACAGTGGGGCAGTATCAATGCGGAAGTCATGGTGAGTCTCCTGAAGGTGTTCTAGAAAAGTGTCGTTGATCGTGTCGATGTTGTAGCTCGGCAGCAGGAAGAGGTAGAAGAGCTCGGCAGGATCCTCCTCCGACTTGGGCGGGGTGATGAAATAGTCGTCAAAGTCAACCTCGGCAAGATCGAGGACCTCGGGCGTGGCGAAAAAGCAGTTGGTGTCTGTGGCCACTTTCTGCAGCTCTTTTTCGAGGCGTTCTGCGTATTCCTTTGCAATCTTAGACGTGTTTGCGGTGATGCTTGAGAAGAAGACTAGAGGCTTTATCTTGGGGACCAGGGCCTCCCCTTTCGACGAGTCCGAAGAGGCTCGCTTGACTAGACCCCCCTTTATCCTCTTGGGTCCGTTCGATTTCTGCGCTTTCGGCTCGGCGGTAGGGCTCGGCGGACTGGGTTCACCATTCGTCGTCGCCTCCTTCTTTTGGTCTACAAGCTTGGTCGCAGACTCTTCCCTATTATAGACCTTGGGACTCGCCTTCAATTCTCCCTTCTCCTCGGTGCTGTGTAGATAGAAACGTAGAACGAGCAAACCGAAAGCCGCAAGCAGAATCACGGGAATACGAACTTGCTGCCATGCATCGTGGGCGTCTGTACAAAAGGAGTATAAGCACAAGGGACGTCAAACCCGTTGGCAGTCACGCGAGAGGGAATGCAGCTCACTGTTCAGCATGTCCTTGAACCCCGCAGGTTCCAGGTAGGACGCCATCGTAGGGTCAATGGAGAGGCGCTTTGCTCGAGTCCGAGCTGTTGCGCGGGTGCTGTGTCACTTCAGAAAGTCTGAAAAGGCTGGTGTCCTTCCAGGTCTTGTCTGGGTGGTGGCGGGGTTCGACCAGTGGGTGCAACTACAATTACAATTGTTATTCAAACTTTCCTACAGCTGCGCCTGGACTTCTTTGGTGGTGCCCCGCCACGGAATTTTGGCCTGCCCTGCACCTCGGACCCCGCCATTAGCGTCTTCGGGAACCCCAGTTGTTGACTATTTATGACTTTAGCGCAATATGTGACAAGACAAACCCTCTGCACTTCCAAACATACCTCTCTAGATGACAGAGAACAGTGTTCAAAGAGAATGGCCCCAATGCCCCCCCCAGCATGTCCTCAAGATCGTTCACTTAAATCATAGAAGCACAACACGGTGCGACTAACAGAGCAATGAATCATCCAGGACCCATGTATGCGCGGCTATGTGGAAAGGGAATGTTTTTGGCGCTCATACCTCAAGAACAAGTTGTTTAAACCCGTGAAAGTCCCGGATACAATCCAAAAACAACAGTACGACATAAGCCTACAAACTTAAGAAAGGCTTTGCATTAGAAGTATCTGGTGGGTTCATGGAGCCTGGCACAAGATCTGCCCTAGCCAGCTGCTCAGACTCTTCGATATGAACCGGCCCGCGTTTGCCAGTCCCTTAGATCTCTAAAACAGGGTGCGGAGAAGAGCTCGCTAGTTTAAGACTCATGGAACGTTGTAACAGCAATTATCAACCTAAGAAAGGACGGAAACAGAACATCCAGCGAGTCGGTCAATAGAATGGGCTGGGCAAGGGGCGAACAAGGAGACAAATCATGGTCATAGCCCTGAAGAAAGGCACTATTCTCCCCACCGAAGCAAGCCTATAAAAGTCGCCAACATGCCAAGCGGGAAGGTGAACCTCCACCACCAGAGGCCCGATGGACAGAAAGATGGGGAAAATAGGTTCCTTTGTTAGAAGACTATAGGCGGTCAGGTGATGAAAGTAGAGTATGGAGACCATGCTTGAGAAGCAGATATCGATGTTCCAAAAGATGTAGGATACGATGAATGCGGTGAACGAACAATATGGGGTGGTAAGAACCTGAGCAACTAGGCCGCCTTAGAGAATGTCACTGCAACCGAAAGGTTGGACCGAGACTGGAAGCCATTAATACTACTCGAAGCTCTAGGCAGTTTCGTTTAATCCCGTGCCAGCTGCTATACCAAGTACTTGGGGACGGCTTATATGGCATATGGTACCGTTATGCATGTCGCCAAGACGTAACGGGGCCCAGGCTCAGGAGTCAACCCACTGGCCCTGAGCAGGTGCCCGTGAGAATATCGGCATGCCAACGATTGCGGAAAAAATGTGAGTGTTTCACCATCTTTTGAGCTCGAAACCTACTTGCAAATCTCATAAGGGAACAGTCAAGGACTTTAAGCTCAAGTTGAACTATTTGCAGTTTTCCGCCCAAGTGGCGGCCGTTCTCTTCAATCCACGCTGAGTAACCCTGGTGAGAAGTGCTGAGGGACCCCTTCGCCGTTTTCGGCAATAGGCCCCGCCAGGACCCGCTCAGTAACTGAAGCGGTTATCGGTCAGCGCCAGCAGAGCGGGCCCGGGCCATAAAATAGAATAGGCATTGCTTTTGTCAAAGAGTGATCAGACAAGCTGATAGTGTCCCCCCCCCATGTCCACCCGAGAGTACCATGCACCATAACTGTAATAAACCTCAGCAGACAGTAGATTGAGTGATAACACAACTATCTTAATAAGAAAACAGAGGCAAAAGGGATAGTCTTAGCCTATCCTAACCTAGAGCGTAGCGTAGGAAGTAGGGTGGTTGGGTGGGTTAGTACTATTCTAACTTTCCCCGGTGGAGCTGTTTTGGAACTAAAAAAATCTAAGAAAACTGGATTTGAACCTGTAGCCTTTAGGATATGAGGTTTATTGCTGTTATTGTGCACGGTACTCTTGGGTTAACAGGGGGGGGCACTATCAGCTTGTCTGTAGACTCTTTGTCAAACGTCTTGTTTTTTGCATTAGAATCCTGCATTAAAAGGGGCTTGTCAACATATTGATATTTAGCTAAACCTCAGACCTCGAAACGCTAAGCAGGACGATTTCGTCTTATAGTTGGCCATCTGACCACTGAAAAATCCGGGCCGTCTGTCGCCTATCAGCGGCTTTGCCAGGATCACTTGAGTTTTGCAAGTGGCTATCTCGCCCAACCAGAAGCGCGTATTTTTGGAGACTTATCCGCCAACCGTTGAAATGGCCGCTCCATTAAACCATGCTCTGGTAACGTGGACAGATTGACCCTGTCCCAAAGGGCAATAGACAGGGACGATAGGATGACCCACTGTCCGAGGTCGGATCAACCAGTAGTTCCGCCACGCCCGCCCATTTCCATCAGGTAATGCGAGCCAGACCTGGTGACCGGGCAGAATCGTATTATCGACGAGCAAAACGAGACAAACCCCGCACGAGTACCCAACAACCCATCACCATCCAGAGCAACAACATAGTTGATAGTGTCCGTAGCCATGGCCCTCGATATCCTAACGAAGATCACCTCTGCCTTCGGGCATGACCTCAAGCCCGACAGCAACCGGTTCAATGAGCTCGTGTGGGGATTGAAAGAGGCACTTGGCCCGTCGTCAGGATTGGACTCAGCAGATGTCGATGTCAAGGAGTTGATGAAGCTGATGGAGGAGTACAACACAAGAGAGAGCGAATGGGTACAATTTGCATTCGCAGAAAAGGGCATGGGATACACCCGCAACCTTGTCGATGAAGGCAACGGCAAGAGCAACCTCGTAAGTACAGGGCGTCGCCGCCACGACTTTGTGGCAGACACATCAGGCTAACGCGACACAGCTTGTGCTTGTCTGGACCCCAGGCAAGGGCAGTCCCATCCACGACCACGGCAATGCCCACTGCCTCATGAAGATCCTCAAAGGCGATCTGACTGAGATCCGATATGCCTTCCCCGAAGGCGACGAAGAGCAACCCATGAAGGTCATCTCTGAGAGAACACACAAGGAGAATGCGGTGGCATACATGGCAGATGAGCTTGGTGTCCACCGAGTCTGCAACAGGGGCAGCGACTTCGCTGTGTCCCTTCACCGTAGGTCTTGCTTTGCCGACTCTGTAACGAATCGGCTGACCATGTTGTAGTCTACACCCCTCCCAACGTCGCCAAGGGGGGGTGTAACATTTTCAACGAGAAGACGGGCAAGCGCAGCCATGTGGCCAAGTGCGGCTACTACTCGGCGTACGGCCGCCGACTGCCGAAGCAGTAGATGTGAGAGTGTCGATGATTTTACATCTCGTTCTAGGCGTTCGCATATTTGACTTTGATGACTATCCGAGCTTGTGGAGACGTCCTGTTTGATGTAAGACTGAGAATGCCGAGAGCCGAAGAGCGCTTGTCGGCAGGCTGATGACTGATGATGAACGAGTGCTCTATCCGGTACATAGAGGGATAGATGCTGACGAGAAGCTTGACCTGCCGCGTTCCTGTATGTATTTTGGGTATCAATGGGTAGCAAATTTAGAAGACAAACACTTGAGACTGGAAAATCCGAAGGAAGTGAGGTTGTAAGTGCACAAGAGCCGCAAAGTCGTCGTTGCTGGCCAGAAACCATCCAAACGAGACCCAAATCTGGTCACGTGAAATGTCGTGATTTTTGCAATGGGTGGTGATTGGCTGATGTGGACCTCCCCACGATGGCGTGCTCGCGTAGGTCATACCCAGCCAGCTTCACTCTTCCATCATTATCATCATCAGCCACAAATCAAGCCCCATACACCATCCACATCCTCCACACCTAAAACAGATCCTTGCGTCGACCACACCCCCACCCAAACGCTAAGTAAGCAGTACGCACAAGACGCGTTAAATGAGGTTCCCGTCTGCTTAGGAAACTGATTCTGGGAAGCCGAATGTGGAAGTGCTCGGTACCGACCTAAAATCTTACCAATCTAACGACTTTCCCAATCTGCTCCAGTATTAGCCTCAATCCGGCTCCGGGAATCGGCCCAGCTGGAGCTTTCGGCATTGAGGATGCCACCCAAAAAGCGCGGTCCTCCCGTCATCGACCTCGTTAGTAGCGACAGCGACGGCGATTCCACTCCACGGCCGACAAAAAGGGCGTCCGGCAGCCGTCCGGTAACCCTAAGCGGTCATGCAGGCGTCGGGGGTGTCGGAAATGCACGGTTCAACATTCAGCCAGTTGTCAACCCCGGTGTCATAACGGGGCCTTCGTCTCAAGCTCATACATACTATGACACCGACGAGGAGTTAGTGGACTTGACTCAAGCTCCTGACGGCCCACCACGGGAGCTGTATGGAACTCTCGGTATTGTGCCTCTGCTTCGGTTTGATTTCTCTGAACTAATATGACGACTTAGATAACAAAATCGTTGGTGTGCGTTATTACAATGGTTATGCCTCTCCTGGCGAGGTCGTCGTTTGTCTGCGAGAGCCCAACAACCAGGTATTTTTCCCCCTATTACTGCTGTACTTTGTAGTGGGGATCCAGAGCATCAAGGATATTGTCTTTACTGTTGTCAAGGATGTTTCTAAAACAACTATAGTACGATCGGAATGCCATTCGGGTATGCAATGTCATGGGCGTTCAGATTGGCCACTTGCCGCGCAAAGTGGTGGAGAAGCTGGCGCCATATGTTGTACGTTCCTCGACTGATTTATAAAGGTAACCTACTCACATGTGAACCAGGACCGGGATGAAATTGCGATAGAAGCAATTCTTGCAGGAGAGAAGGGCATGTTCGACTGCCCCATTCGTCTACATATCTATGGAACCAGCAACCGCATCGACCGTCTGGCGCTAGAAGAAAGGCTGAAGAGAGACAAGCTGATCAAAGCTGGCGAGCTCAAGAAGACGAGAGCTGAGGCCGATGCACAGCGAAAGATGCTGGGTATCAAGGGCAGTCAGTCAACAGTTGGTCTGGATGGCGGCACGGCAGAGCCCGAGTTATCACTGGAGGAGCTAGCGCAAGCCAGTCAGGCAATGCAGGGCCAACCCCGTGGAGATGCGGTACGGTCGTTCGTCGTAGATGAAGACTTTTTGTCCAAGATGCCTATGGCAGAGCAACCTGCTGTCCTGGAGTCGACGTTGCTTCCGTATCAGTTACAGGTAAGATTGCGCTATTGGTGCATTGGCGTTCTTCCGCGAGCCCAACAGCGAGTGTAAAGCACGACAAGTGCTTCAAAACAATAGCTCAGGACTAATCGTGCATAGGGTCTGGCTTGGATGACGGCTAAGGAGAATCCTCAACTTCCGGCCAAGGGCACTCAGGAAAGCATTCAACTGTGGAAATGGGACCACCGAGGACGTGGCATGTACAACATGGCGACGAACTTTGTAGTGTCGAATCCACCAAAGCTTCTCTCCGGAGGCATATTGGCTGATGATATGGGTCTCGGAAAGACGCTGCAAGTCATCAGCCTCATTTTGACCGGTGGCTCTGGCCCGACTCTCATTGTTGCCCCGTTGAGCGTCATGAGTAACTGGGAACAACAGATTCGCAGGCACGTCAAGCAAGAGCACCTGCCCAAGATCTTCACATATCACGGGAACAACAGGGCAACAAAGAATGAGCTGGCCCAGTACCAGGTTGTTATTACTAGTTACAACAAGCTTGCAACGGAGGGTAGCAAGGAAAAGAATGAGACGCCGTTGGGATCGCTTATGGCCACGAACTGGAGACGAGTTGTACTTGATGAAGGTCACACCATCCGCAACGCGAAAACGAAGGCTGCTGTTGCCGCCCGAAAACTTAACGCGCAGTCAAGATGGGTACTCACGGGAACGCCAATGTCAGAACCCCTCCATCCTATCTATTGCATGAAGATGCGCTTCTAGGAACACTCTGCTAACGATCTCCAGCATCAACAACATCAAAGACTTCCAATCATTGCTGCAGTTTCTTTCCATCACTGGAGGTGTCGAACAGTCTGTCATTTTAACACTGTTATTTCACGGCCTCTCGCGCAGGGTGACAAGACAGCCGAAGCCCTTCTCCAGCTGTTGATGCGGGACCTCTGTTTACGACGCAAAAAAGACATGAAATTCATCGACCTAAAGCTACCAATCAAGAAAGAATACGTCCACCGCATTGCCTTCAGACCGGATGAGAAGAGAAAATACGACGCCTTGCTGTAAGTCAATCGGATAAGACTTCTGCAATAACACTGCTAATTCAAAATCGCAGGTCCGAAGCACAGGTGGCCCTGAAAGATTATCAGGCCAATGCTAGCGGAGCTAAGGGCCAGTTCCAAAATGTTTTGGAGCGGCTCCTTCGCCTGCGCCAGGTGTAAGGAACGACCGGTTTTGACAGCAGTACTCGGACTGACCTAGATCTAGGTGTAATCATTGGACGCTTTGCCGCAAGAGAATCAACGATCTCCTTGCAGTTCTCGAGGGCCAGTCCGTCGTCGCTCTCAACTCAGAAAACATCAAGCTCTTGCAAGAGGCGCTGCGTCTCTACATCGAGACACAGGAAGATTGCGCCGTTTGCCTTGATACTCTGAACAACCCAGTCATCACGCACTGCAAGCATGTTTTCTGCCGCGGATGTATTTCCAAGGTGATTGAGGCACAACACAAATGCCCGATGTGCCGCAACCAGCTCGGAGAAGACGCACTACTCGAGCCCGCCCCCGAAGGCGACGAAGAAAATGATGAGAACTTTGACGGCGACGCGAAGAGCTCCAAGACCGAGGCCCTCCTGAAGATCCTCCAGGCCACGACCAAAGACCCCAAGTCCAAGGTCATCATCTTCTCACAGTGGACGTCGTTCTTGACCATCATCCAGAACCAGCTTGTTGAGGCAGGATACAAATTCACCCGCATCGATGGGTCCATGACGGCATCGAAGCGCGATGCGGCCATTCACGCCCTAGACCACGACCCTGACACGCGCGTGATGCTCGCCAGCTTGGCCGTCTGCAGCGTCGGCCTCAACCTCGTCGCCGCGGATACCGTCATCCTGGCCGACAGTTGGTGGGCGCCGGCCATTGAAGACCAGGCCGTAGACCGCGTGCACCGTCTGGGGCAGAAGCGACCGACGACGGTGTGGCGTCTTGTCATGGAGGGGACCGTTGAAGAGCGCGTGCTGGACATCCAGCACGAGAAGCGGACGCTCGTGGGCAAGGCATTCCAGGAGAAGAGCAAGGGCAAGAAGACCCAGGAGACTCGTATGGCGGATATTTCGAAGCTGCTTGGCTGAGATGCTTCTCCATCACATGGGGCCCCCCATGGATGTGAGGGTAAAGTGGTGAACAAAAGTTGTATTTGTAGACATGATTTGCTTGATCCACATTATGTATTTGCATCTTCGTCATGCTGGAGGGGTGGTCTATTTATACCAGTGTAGCCTATGAAAATTGAGCGTTGGTGAGATTTCACAGTTATCATCGAGGTCTGTATCGTACCTTGATCCTTCCGCTCACACCCCTCTCCTGTCGCATGAAAGTTGTTTGCAAATAAAAGCTGTCTTTACAAACCACCAGTCTCTTGCGTTCCATCATCTCATCTATTGTGCTTTTTGTAGTTCCATATACCCAGTCTGTAGACCAACTGACACTTGCTTCTTGGAGCCAATATTAGGGTGCATTGTTTAATGGTAGAGATACGTACGTGACAACAAACATGTGCTGCTCCCGCGGATGACTGATGACAGCTTGAAGGCCTTTTCGGGATAAAACCTGCGAATGAGGGGCATGAGAATGCCCATTGTTCCCGGAGACTTTTAGACTGTTCTTCCCTTTGGCGTGTTGGCCCTCCGCGGAGCCAACCTATGCCCAGCGTAGCTGCGAGAAAGCCTAGCGGTCCACCACCCTTACCACACTTGGGGCTCATACCGCAAGGCTATCAGCTCGCACCTCTTGAAGGTGATCGGAAGTCCTCGAGAGAAGAGGCAGAGGAATTTGGCAACCAATCAATGCCGAGCCGAGCTCCATGGTGCTACTCCAGCACTGCCGCCCTTGGGCCAGCAATTGTCATTGTCCAAGTGTGAGGACGAATTGAAATTCCACTTGAACACCAAAGCCCTACAACCTCAGATATACAAACCCCGAATCACTGGACCATGAGCGTAAGGTTGCTGAGCTGTCACCACCATCATCCATTTCAACCGGCCAATAGCTGGCTTCGGGTCAGAAACTCATCGAAACAAGTTTGAGGCTTCACATAAGAAGGCCTGCAGGCTTGGGGGCTCAGAATGGGATTTCCTCCACCAAGCCACCCATTTACGACACAGCACCACTAATTAATTACCTGAAATTCTCCGATAGCTGCACAGACAGCCGGGCACTGGCACTGAAAAGATGCATCACGACAAAGCCGCAACGCGCATAGTCTTTAATGGCCCAAATGACACGTCGGCGTCAGGTCGGCGGAGACCGGCACATCAAGGAATGCGAACCACATGTCCACAGGAACATTTACTTCCAAGCTGGACAACACTCTACAACATGAACCGGCCACGGCAGGAACACGCGCAAAATTAGACTCTATAATGGGCTTGAGTCTCTGGGACGAAAGCAACGGTGAATGCGGCGACGCGAAGTCTCGATGACGAGCCGCTACGCCACAGAACAGAAGAAGCTTGGACAAGTTGTGCGAGGCTGGAGATGAATACTTCAGAAAATAATAACAGAAACGAGCAACTATTTGGCCCGGGGAGCTGTATCCTTCGACAAAGGGCCGTGGGTCGAAAGGAGGGCCGTTTGGGGAAGATGGAAAAGAGAAAGGGAACCGGGAACAGTGGACTGTAGTGTAGTATAGGTTGAAGCAACTCGGTTTGATCTCGCAGCACGTCCTTGAGAAACTGCCACCGTCTCGATGAGCTCTCCCAGTCAATTCTAAACCAGTGCCTTACTTTTGTGACAACCAGTCGGCAGTAGCCGGATCACAACCCTCGGACCACCGGATTGGTTGAAGCGCTGATGCTGTCATCGGGCGTGACGGTGAGGGTGAGGGGTGCAGGACGACATCAAGCTCGGGTATGTCGAGGGTGTCCAGGTGATCCGAGTTGGTATGTGCCCCGCAATTTAGCCCCGCGGCCGGAGAAAATGGTGCGGTGACGTGGGGAGGGAGGTATCCACCAGACAGAGGTACCGGAACGAGGTACCGGTACCTCGTATGTCTGTGCAGACGTGGTGGTCCTTGGAACTGTAGAACAGGGAGCACTGGCTCTACATAGTAGGTAGCTAGTCTGCAGAGCTGCCAAGAATAGAGCAAAGCGTGCCCCATCTGGTCGCAGCGCATCCGCTTTGGATCTTGTATGGGGAGGCATGAGGTGACGATGATGAAGGCCAACAGGCGACAAGCAGGGAGGTTTATCTCTCGAAGGGCCTCCAGCAAAGACTGCACAAAGCACACCCACACATAGGCGTCCTTGTGTGCCGTGGAGAGTGAGAAGACTGAGGAAAGAGAATCGTGCCATTGGGTATGAGGCATTGGCTTGGCTGGCTGGCTGGCTGCTTCTCGATCAATTGCATTTGGCTGTGGGCTTGGGTAGGGTGTCTCAGTAGAACAAGCGGGAAAACAGCAACTCTGTGCGACAGCATGGGCCTTCCATCACTGGACGGACATGGCCCAAGCAGTGACTGTTGTCGGGGTCTGGCCAGAGACACTGAAGGAGCGGACGCGGTTGTCGTTCGTCGTGGAGGCCAGCCACAAGGCGTTTGGTAGTGTACATGTGAATGTGGTGTATCCGTATGTAGCCGCACACTGGGTTGCAGGAAAGGATGGGATAGTTTTGGGAGCGGGAAAGAGGGTGTGGACATCGAGGTCCGTCATACTTTTGCAAGGATGACCCAATCACGGATCACCTTCATCACTTTCCGCGGGGCCTCACACCCCTGTCGGGACTCCAGCTGCAAGGTTCTGTCCCATCCACTCCACATCTGCGGCTTGCTGCGCAACGCTTGGCGGCATCACTCTCATTCTGAGCTTCACATTGTCTCTTCCAATACCTACCTACCTAGGTACCTAGCTTAGGTAGTTTAGGTTGGCAGGTAATAGGTAATCGTTGCTGCCTATCCTTCTTTCCTGGCGCCTCAACCCCCAAGTCATCCCGTTTCACAATGGGGCCCGGAAGGAACGATGCACAACCAAGTCACTTTCCAAGCCCGAACTGAGGTACAGATACAAAGCGGATGCCCCATGTTATTCGATTCCATCCGTCCTCTTGATACCTACCTTGGTACAGGTACGTAGGTAGGAAGTCTGGACGATGGCAGCCGGGCAGTCAAGTGCTGCAGTACCACATCATCCAAGTACCTAGGTACCAGGGATCAAAGGCTACTGGTGGTGGCTTGTGTACATGGATCGTCTCAAACCTGTCTTTAAAAAGCTATTGTTCCCGCCGAATGGACTCGGATGGCTGGATGAGCACGACTAGGCACCGACCCAGCTCTGACGCCAGCATCGCTACCTGCCTTCTGATCCGGTATGTGGTCGATGTACCTACTCCGTACCATCGAATCAAACAAGCAGGGTTGATAGGTCCAGATCAGCCTGTTCAATGACCACGTACCAAAGCTTGGGCTCATTGTATCATGTTGCTGAACCACGAAGCACAGGGGCGATCCCCATCTAAACCGCTCACAAGGGCACCTCCAGTGCAGCCAACCGGCGATGCGATGCTAGGTACCTTGCTGTGCTATGCTCAAGGCGCCAGCCTGTACGTAGCCTGCCGCGGACAAGTGGAGGAAGCCTGACAGGCCAGACAAGCACGCTCAAACCAACTCATCTCATTTGTCCACTGGTCCATGTTCCGCCCTTCCTTCTCAAGCCTTTTCACTTCGCGTGACGCGTAAGGATTGCATTATACTCCCGGCACAGACAACCTTGGACTTTGGACAAACGTTCGGGCTGACTGCTAAGGAATTGCCTGAAAAACACGTGCTGAATCCGTTATTTGATGAGGTGGACACCGCATGCCGTGGCTGGGAGCTCGAAAGGTGTGGCAGTGTGAGAGTCCATCTCAGCCATGATCGTAACACACCGACGCACTTGCTTGCAGGAGAGGAAAAGGTACCCGCCTCATGCATCCTCGTTACACCCTTCTGTACTTGTGGCGAGTTGCTTCCCCGCAGATTTAACGTCCCACCTACCACCCGCCCACCTTTGCAAGTTTCCCGTTCCTGCCCTTCTTAAGTGCCACCTGCGGCCCTCCCCAGCTCAAGCCATTCTTCCACTTCCAAGCTACCGCCATCTTGCAACGCCGTTGTGTACAAACACCAACAAAAACCATTTTCCGATTGAGATATAACCAGCACGAACACTCAAGAGTTTGGCAACCCGTCGTTCAACATGGCCACCGCAACAGAGCGCATCCACGCCCGTAAGTTCTCCCAGTTGCCTGCCAAATGATCTCTTGCTTTTCGAGACTAACCCTCTACCGAACCCAGTGAACCCCTTCTCCAAGAGGGAGTCTCATAGCGCCAGGACCATCACGACGTACAAGGTCCTGACTATCCTGAGTTGGCTCTTGGCCCTCATCGTCACCTTCTACTACACCGTCAACGAGCCCCGCGATGGCTTCACGATCCGCAGGAGAATCTGGGACCAGAACTACCTGTACCCCACCGCCTTCACACTGAACTCGGTCATCGTTGACATCTACTGGTGAGCCTGAACAGCCCCTGGGCTATACTCGGTCTAACAGCGTTCAGGGTCGTCCTATTCATCTTGCAAATCGGCTATGTCGCCCACCTCTTTTCGAGCAATAGCGACTATGTCAATGCCGCCGCAAGCGTTGGATCCCACTTTATCTTGAACAACCTTCTGCACTTCGCCTTTGTCATGCTCTTCGTCAACTCCCACTTTGTCTGGGCCGAGATCATTCTGCTCATCAACTTCGCCAACCTGTCGTCGTTGTACTTCCGCCACAACACGTACCCGCGCTTCATTCACTGGCCGGTCGTTTCCGCTCCTCTTGCGTGGACATTTGTGGCTATCTACTGGAACGGTGCCATAATGGTCCCCCACCCCCACAGCCTGGTTGCCCGCATCTTTGGCAACATCTTCATCTGGTCTATCCTCGTCTACGGTGGTTTCTTCATCGTCGCCTACAAGGTATGACGGGTGATTCCGTATTGCTCGTTCCTCTGCTGACTTGAACCCCCAGGACTACACCATTGGCTTCTCCCTCAGCGTTCTGGCTGCCGCCATTGGTGTTGCTCAGTTCCACCGTCAATTCATTGCTTTCCAGTGGATCTTTGCCTTCACCATCATGGCCGTCCTGTTCGTTTCGACGATCGTCGTTGCCTATCCGGCTGCGAGTGGCAAGGACTACCCCTGGAGGAGCCGCTCTTCGGCCCCTGCCGACCAGGAGCGCGCTCCTCTTCTCTCCAACGACCAGTAAAGTCGTTCAGCTTTTCACCAATAACATAACGTCGAAATCTGTGGGAATGGAGTGGACTTTGTAATGATTGAGGCACCCTTCGAGCCAAGAACAGATGCAGGTAGTGGAGTGGAGATTGTGGCCGAGAAGCTCGTGTGGCAGAATTGCGGGCTCCAAAATTCCTAGTGGTACCGAGAGATTGCTACGACGACAAAACTGTATGGTATGGTATGTACATAGCATTATTTACGGTTACGCATCCGCAGAGTACGTTAATTACCTCCGTGTTGTGATTTGGATTGAGCGATGCAAATGTTGAGAGATGACGTATCGGCAGTCTTATCGCTATCGTTATCGCTTTGACTCTGCTTATCGTTATACACTAGTCTTAGTAGAGAATGGTTGTTTCTCTCGAACACATTGGTAGTGAGTCTTCAATTACCTATCGTTTGCTTCTGAGCATCTTGTCCTCTGGATTGTGCAATTACGCCGAATGCTTATTGATGGACTCATGGTGTCGCCGAGACGATTTCCTTTCCCCCTGAATATCGGGACCGACATATGTCAAGTCTCACGTATATACCGACTTCTGGCTAGTGACCGAGGTGTGAGGTTCCTCCAGCGCGTCTTCACCAAGGATGAGCGCACCTTAGTTCCTGCCTGCTCTTCGTCAGGTCAGACATCGACGACCAAACCAGAGTCCAGCCAAGACGGGGATTTTCGAGCATTGAAGAAGCACAACCCATTGCTGTGGAAACGGGCAACCTTTGTAGCTGGGAGGTAAGCTCGCACATGCACATATACACTACCACCACCACCATCATCAGCTTTGCCGTACACCGTCAATATTCCATCACGGATCCAGGCTAAGACAGTGACTGAAGCCTACCCTTACTCGCCCTAGCAATACCTAGACTGACAAAGAAGCCAGGTTCGCCGCGAAAGAAGCCACGTTCAAGGCGCATCCTTCCAGGAGGCTCTCCTTCCACGACATCACCATCGTCAGGCGGGCGGTCGTGGAAGGGAAGGCGAACCCCAACGGCAGCGGGCCGCCCGTGGCTGTCATCCGGGGCGAGCGGGAGGGCGAGCCGGGGCAGACGGCCATGGTCTCGATCAGCCACGACGGGGACTACGCCACGGCCGTCTGTCTCGGGTTCGAGCCGGCGACGAGAGATGGCAAACGAGCTCCCGGGGACGAGGACGACGGGGTGGACTAGCAGTCTGATCAGATTTGGGTGACGAGAGCTTTGGCGAGGGCGGTGGGTGGAGAGGCAAGGGCACCGAGGGTGAGTTTGCTTGGGCAAGATTTAGCTGGGTTCTCTGGACCGCGGGCCCGCCCTTGATGGGTATCATGGTGCTCTCTGGTAGCATTTGGACAGAGTCGTCTCGTCGACTACAGTATGGATATGATCTAGTGCAACGCATCCCAATAAGTCACAAGAGCCGCCTCTCACGCCTGCATAGCAATGTCATCTCAGGCTTCCAGGCGCATGCCTGGGGCATGAACGGCTTTCGGTGCATACAGATAAAATAGACCCTGGAACTGGCTTATTTCAGGATGCCATTAGCCCTCTATCGCAAGGGAATCTGTTTGTACAGAAAGTCACCTCGCTATACCCCGACACAAACTTCTTTCTCTTGGTTTGCTCGATCCATGTCTGTTCAGCCACCGTCGAGTATGCCGGACGCATCCCGATCTCCCGCACTATATCCCATCAACCAACCGCCGGGAAGACCCCCGCACCAGCAAGGAACCGGCGCTCCACGCACCCACGTTGCCGGGTGCGGATTTCTTGGAACGCAGAAGCCTCCAAGACTGCGGCCACGCGGGAGAAGAATTCCAACCCAGGTGTGGGCCCCACCCTTTCCCCCTCCCCACCGCGCACGAACACCGACCAAACTTAGGCCTGAATTCTGCCTGAGACCCCCAACCAAAGCAATTAGATCCATATGGCCGGCTGGCCTAATGGCTAAGGCGTCGGATTCCTATGAGGAATACAAACTCATCCGAAGATTCTGGGTTCGAGTCCCAGGTTGGTCGTCGAGAACATGAAAAATGTTCTATGAGTCTCCCTTTTTCTCGTTTCCCACTCTCCTTTTTCATAGACTTATTTCTTAATTTTGCTCGTAGTATCCATCACTCCCCCAATCTTTTGGTGCGCTCGAGTTGTAAGTAGTCCCTAGACGGAAACATCGTTGTCCTTTTGAGCTACAAGGGCGCAACCAGCCGGTGACCACCAGTCTATTTTCTGCTCCTGATGAACGAACGAACGGTCTGGACACACCTGGAAAGAATGCCTTTCCCTGGATTTTTTCTGTCCATCGCTGTATTTCATTGGTTTTTTGTTTTGCTATTCATTCCCTTTAGGACAATCGTAACGCGGGCATCGATCGCCATGCATGCTTGCCAGACCACCACACAAGCAAGCTGGCTTGTGACATGTTACCGCGGTCACCATGTTGCTGTCCGCCTTTCGGTGTGTAGGCTTCCCGCTATTCGCGCAGCATCGTCTCACTCATGGAAACACGCCTCGTAAAGCAAGCAAACCCAGAACAACAAGCTACTAGGGTACCAATCTAGAAATTTAGGGTATCAGTGTGTAAGTAGTGTACAAAAGACAATGCAGCCCGTTCTACCCACTGGCGATGTCGCCCACACAGTTCAGATGAAAGCGAAAAACACAAGGTGGCGCAACGCACGCGCAGCCTCTAACTCTAACAAACGGACGGGGGGAAATAGTTCCCTCAGGCGCGTTCTCAAAACCATGCATCTCTTTATTCTAACCCCTCAAACCACTCCCCATCCTACTGCAAAGCTCACTAGGCTTCGATCATGAGCTGTTCACCCTCCTCCAACAGCTCCGTCACCTTCTTCAGGTTACTAATGAGGCTACGTCCGAGACCAACGAGGAGCAGCTTCTCGGCGTTGGCGGGCAAGCCAAGGTACGTGGGCGGCTCGCGCTCCGGTAGCTTGCGGATCCACGCCATGAAATCCTGCATGGAGGTGCCCGATGGCACGACGAGGCTGCCCTCTTGGTTCTCTGAGCCCTCGACGAGTTTGTGGCCCACATCGTAGGCCGAAGGTGTCAGGAACGAGTGCACCAGCTGGTTGAGCTGCTTGAAGTCGCCCTCGTTGTCGATCTTGCCGCCGTAGGTTTCCGTCACGAGGTAGCGGATCATTTCCCAGGGGATGCTCTGGGGAGCAATGTTCGTGCGGCTACCGGCGGCGTTCTCGATCCAAGTGTCAATGATGAATGCCGAGCATTCGTACTAGGAGCATGTCAGTACACGTTCAACTGCATCGTACCAGGGGAAACTTACATCACTGTCGTTGAACTCCCAGAAGCCCTTCCAACCCAAGCTGGGGGCGTATCGCAGGCGCTCTTGGACGACGGCGTGCAAGAACGCGAGCAGCAGGTACAGCCTTGCACGCTCGACAGGTGCCTTGGTGGCTCTCGTCGACAGGGAGGTCATTGAGTCCTTCATGTTGGCGCGCACACCTGCGGGCTGTTCGTACATGAGTACTCTCGAGGCACGGAGCAGATTGACGGGAATCTTGGGGCTCGACTCCATCGACAGGAATAGTCGGAAGTCCGAGTGGGGGTTGAGCGATTCCATGCGCTTCTCGAGACTCTGCAGCCAGGTAGGAGCGAGATGAACGTTCTTGACCAAGACCCAGTTACCCAATTGCGCAGCGTTGCTGATAGCCTTGTCAGCACTTGCGAGACCCTCATTGGATCCCATGGCAATGTTGGTGCACTTGATGCGCATCCTCTCGACGAGGTTGTCCACCTTGTAACTGGCGTCGAAACCAGGGCTGGAGACTAAGGAAATTGGCCTGGTAGCGGGCACCTGGCTGACGGTCTCCTTAAGGTCTTCGACGACGTCAAAGGTGTCGGAGCCGAAGACGAGAATAACAAACCGCTCGGCAGCGGGGACGAATCGGTCAAGGCGGAACAGCTTGACGAGAAGCAGGGACTGCAGAGCCTGGTCGAAAGCCTCCGTGTTGTCCTCCCAGATCTGGGGGACAAAATTCTCTGCGAGCTCCTCCGTCAAGAACCTGTCCCAGTCGGCGGACGACACCTTGTCAAGCTTCTCCTTGAGCACGTTCATGCGGCCGGCACGGGTGAACGCTTCGTCCTTGGCATCCTTGTCGGTGGAGAGGTCCCTGCCTTCTACGCGGTCGTCGAGGATGATGTCGATAAGGGTCTTGTCCATCTTGTAGGGCGAAGCCTGGGCAAGCAGCATGGCCAGCGTGATCCGGTCCTTCTGAAGCAGGCCCAGCGCAGTCCGCTTGAACGTTGTGACGAACAGATCCTTGACAATAATGTCGCGACGGATGTTGTGGTTCGTCTCGTTGGCGAGGTTCTTGTTGCCGTGGAGAACCGAGTGGAAAATGTCGAGGAAGTACTGGAGCGAGAACTGGTAGAAGTGGTTTAGGTAGTGAAGCTGCTCCAGCACCGCAAAGACAGTACTGCAGGAGCGGGCGATGATGCTGTACTGCTGGGTGATCTCCTCGACCTCTGCCATGACGCCCTCGGTGTTGTTCATCTTGTCCGAGATCTCGGCCGCCTCCGTCTTGAGGGTCTCCAGGGTTTCAATGACGTTGTCGTCGTCGAGAATGTTTCCGCGAGACTCGTTGAGAGCTTGCAAAAGGCGCTTCTCCAACTGTCGCAGGTGAACCTTGAACTCTCCCTGAAGCTTGATGAGGTTAGATCGCCGCTCGTCAACATCGGGTCTCTCAGACTTGAGCACTTCGTTAAGGGACTGGGTCTGGAGACTGCTCTGCGTAACTGTGAAGTTGACAAATGTGGTTCGAGAGCAGATATCGGGAGCGAACGTAGCCGACGGGTCGCGGGTCGATAAGTAGATCTTGAACGACGGCGAGAAGTCGATCTGCTGCTTGCCGAGCTGGATAAGGACACGTCCACCTGTCTTCTGGTATTCCTTGTTGAGGACATGGTTGAGGATGGGGTCGAGGTACTCGGCGTCCTGGATGAGGATGGGGTTACCGAAGCGCAAGGAACTCTCCAATTGCTTGGTGAACGAATCGTCCAAGAAACTGGTGACTGTCAAGCGGCGTTCTTTGCTTTCCTTCTGCAGGAACTCCGTGACTCTACCGGAAGGATCAATGATGAGAGGGTAACGGTTAAACCGCTTGAGGATGATGGCGTTCTCTGTGCACAGGTCGTCGACCGGCAAGCTGTTCTCCTGCCAACTGAGGCGCTCATCAGCCGTCGAAAGGTATTCGGTGACAGGGTTGTGAGGCTTGAACAGGATGCCGGAGAGCTGCAGCTGGTGCAGCCAGTCATCCATCATCGATTTGCGGAAGGTCTGGTCATACAGGCCGCTGTACGCCAGAAAGGCGGCAGCGACAAGCACGTCGCCGACGAGGGTGCTGATTTGCGTCTCGAAGGACTTACTACCCTCCTCCCAACGGACTCTCTCAGACGACAGACTGTCGAGTAATTTGACACTTCTGTCGACCTTGAACTGAACCTTGGACATCTCAGACTTGATGGCCTGGGTCTCGCTGATAAGCGCAGCGTACTCCGTCTTGTACTGGGCGATACTGGACTCGAGGTTGTTGATGGTGTTCTCGACCGCCTTGGCCTCTGCCTTGGTTTGCAGGGCCTGTTCCTCGAGCGCGTCGACTTCGTCTCTGAGAGGGCCGACCCTGTCCAGAATCTCCGAGTATGAGACCTGCGCCTCGACCCACTGCACCAGAGGACCACAGGCCTTACTGGCACGGTTGACCTTGTCGAAGGTGAACTCGGGGTTTGACAAGAATTCGTTGCGCATCTTGACACGCAGAGACTTGGTCATCTGCCGTTCGTTGTCGAAGTTTACGATGCTGGCAATGAAATCGTCGCGGCGAATAATACCTTGGATCATCCTCCAGTCGTTGACCTTGTGACCGAGCAGAGCGCAGACAGACTCAAGAGCTAGTCTGACACCCTGAGGAGGGTTACCCATGGATCGTACTTCGGTAAGGTGCTGCCGCTTGATGTTGCTAACACTGGCCTTGGCCTCTTCGACAGCGGGCTCGGCCTTGGCGAGGTCCTCCAACACGACCTTTCTTCTCGAGGCCACTTCGGCTTCTTGTTTCTCCAAGGCAACCTGGATCTCCAGGGATGTGTTCTTCCTCTGTTCTGCCTCTCTCTGGTCTGCTACCATGCGCTGCAACTTCTCGTTCGCCTCGGCATCCTTCCTCTCG